ATCCACAAGAGGCCGCTGTGCACGATTTTTCGTATCTCGAACGTCTCTCGCAAATGCCGTTAGCGCCCGCGCTGTTCTCGCGTCAACCCACCATAGGCCGCTGTCTGACTGACCAAATGATTGACTGCGCGACCGGCCAATCGGCTGACCCACCCTCCTCCTTCCCTGAACCCAACCAGTTTTACCAATTGACCCGCCCGCCCGCTCACTTCCCTATACCCGAGAAACAATTTAGAAAAGCCGTCTATAAAAAGAAAAGCCCACGTCCGTTTTTTTTTTTTATTACCACGTTTTCAGATTTCACTCTGTTATGAACTCGTTCACTTTATTTTTTGGATTCTGTTTTTGTCTTACCTGGTTTCTGGAACCGCTCTTCCCCAGACTCGAACCCAGACGCCTTTGTCAACTCCTCCTCTCTGCATCTGAAGTCCGCCGACGCACACAATGAGCTGACCGGACAAACTGACTGCAGCGGGAAATCCCTCCACACGGAGGTAAGCTGTCAGCCGGCAAGCGCGAAAGGGAACAGCGTCACATCGCCCTGTAGCGTTCGCTTAAAAAAATGAAATGCAGCCATACGAACCGTTTTCAGAATGAGCCTGGGTTAACTTTTAACAGATTCCTATAGTTTTTTTTTTTCTTTTAATCATGGATAATAATAAGTTTGTATTTTGAAAATAAGCCTTTTGTTATGTTTCTTTTTCAAAATTTGCAATTAGAAATTATAATCTCATTACATTATTTATAAAAGTTATTTTTAAACTAAAAAAATACATACTATTACTGTGTTTACTATGGTTTTTTTTAATGTATGCATGTTCTTTTTAATGAAAACTTTATAAATGCTCTGGCAATACATTTGTAACATTTGCCATGCCAATTAAGCAAATAATGAATTGAATTTAATTGAATTGAACTGAACTGAACTGAACTGAACTGAATTGAATTGAATTGAATTGAATTGAATTGAATTTAATTTAATTTAATTTAATTTAATTAAATTGAGAGAGATAGAGGGAGGATAAACTGTAAAAAAATAAACGTTATTTTACAGGTAATTGTCAGTTTTTTTGTTACAGAATTTAGAATTTTAAATTTTTTTCATTATATAGTGAAATAGCTGTTGTTTCACAGATATTTTCTGATAAAAATATCTAACATTAATTTTACAGTTATTGCTTGTATTTTGGTATTACTTTCTTTTTCTGATTTTTAAGTAACTGTTCTGTATTTTCAGAGAGTTTCACGTAATTTTACGTTAATATTTGCTGATTGTTCCTGTAAAAATAAGGACACAAAAATTAAGTCAAATTGTTTTTAGTAAGGATAATCATATGAAGATTAACGTGTGATTAATAATGTCAAATAATAGCCTATTGTTTGTAGGCTGCATATAATACAAGCACTGTAAACTTTAAAATGTTTATTTTGCTACTCAATGATCTTCAGTGATAACGGCTGCGGATCACTGGAAAACTACACACACGCTACTTTAACGAACTACAACTCCCAGCATGCACCTCGCACACCTGGGTTCCTACTTCAGACTGAGTACGCAGCTTTTTACAGTCATTGGTACACACAGAGTCAGAAGATCATTACAGATCGTTGCTGATTCTTAAAGTGTTTAGTGAGGATTATCGTTATGGGTTTCCTTTTGCCTTGCTGCGTTTGACCCCTTTACTTTTTATATTTTTTCAAGCTAATAGTTTTGGAGTTTAACTTACATATCCTAAAAAAAGTATTTGCTGAGTTATTTTATAGCTGATGATTATATTTACAGTGTTTAATGACAACAGCAATTATTTGTACTTAAACTTTCTTTTAAATCATTCTTTAAAATATATTTTTTCTGTTTTAAATGTATGTTGAAAGTGAAAAAAGATGGAATATTTACAGAGTTCATGCATAATAGTATAAATTAATGTTTAATCGCATTAATCAATGTGTGTAATTATAATAATAACCTGCATAATTACAGTAACAATCATTATAATCACATTAATTAATTTGTATAATTACATTCATGACCTGTATAGTAACACTAATAATCATTATAATCAAATTAATTAATTTTTGTATAATTACATTAATAACTTGTAGAATTACAGTAAAAATCTTTAGTCACATTTATTAATCTGTAAAATTAGCATAATAACTTATATTTTTACAGTAATAATTTGTAAAATTACAGCAATAATCTGTATAATTGCAGAAATAATTAGTAAAATGGCAGTAATTACCATTTCCCCACCATTTTTTTCAGTTTAAATGCAAATTATCTACAGCAATAAACTGTAATTTAATCAATTTTGAGCGTAATGTTCTGTATTTTGTAGTTTTTGCATGTGTTTTTTTTTGTTAAATGATTATTTTCTGTAACTTAACAGAAACAACAACAACAACAGAACAATCTCTGCAAGCCCTGCTTTCAGTCTTTTGACTTTTTTTTTACAGATTTTTTTTCAGTGTACGTAAGAAAACTAAATCTAGGGGAGTACGAGGCACAAAATAACGCGGGGTTAAATGTAACAGAGTTTTAAGGTATTTGCTCAGGGTTAACCGTGGCATGATTCGAAGGTTTTTAGCACACTGTCAGCAGACGTCTTCCTGCCAATTATTAAAAAAAATTGTTGAAATTTGGATGTGAAACACAGGAGAAACCATTTTTGCAGCATACAAATATTTTTTTATAGTCGACATTTTTTTATTTAAAAAAAATCTGTGAAAGTTTGTTCGTAAAATCTTATATTGTTGTGATCACTGTCTTCTAGACTAAAAGATGGAACCATTTTGAAAGATGTAAAACACACACAGTGACTTCTAGCCAGTTTTGAGGAAAACATGACACACAGGGTGTAACAATTAAGGGCGTACTCACACTAAGTACAGTTGCCTTGAACCGGGCCAAAGCACACTTGTCCCTTCTCTCATCTCCCCCGATGGCCTGCACTCACATTACATTCGGTCCTGGGCACGCTTACGTCATCAATGCTGCGCTGTTCAGTAGAGAAGCGCTCTCGCTCAGCACAGTGGAGATTTCTCTTGTCGTTTGAGATGCGGTGACACAAAGTCAAACATTTCACCAAACAGATCTGTCACTTTTGACACTCATAAACAATCATAAAGCTCTCGTGCTGCAGGAATTAGGAGGTTTGCTGAAGGTGCAGCTGTGGTGCAGTGAGGGGTTTGCGTCTTTAATAAGCTACGACAGTTTGCGTTAATTCAACAGTACGAATGATTAATAAATCCATATGAAACAGTCTCTTAAGAGTCACGTCTCGCTTTCAGTTTCAGGCTTAGGCACGTTTTGCACTCACACGCAAGTGTACCGCGCCAAAGCCCAAGTGAACCGCGCTCACACCTCTTCCAACCAGGCCAGGGCTGGCCAAGTGAACTGTGCCTGAGCCCGATTCAGCTCACTCACATACTCAAACAATCCAGGAAAACAGACCTGGGCACAGTTCAGATAGCATAGTGTGAGTAGGCACTAAGCCACACACTGTTGGACACCAACTAAACAAACTAAATATTTTTTTGAATTTTGAGTGTAATGCTGGGAACGTTTTAAATAAAAATGTTTTTTAATAGAAAAAAATGTTTAATAGAAATAAATATTTTATTGCTAATAATGCAAATAAATGCACTGTATAATAATTATACATTTAAATGTGATTTAAATGTGTTTATCCAATAAACAAATAAATACATAAACATACTGTGCTTTGTAGAATAAAAAAGAAATGAGCCAACTACTGAGGAAATATAGCTACTATTTAAAGTAAACTGAATTTAAATTAACTGTGGGAAATCTGCCTTTAAATGCATGTATGGCATTAGCCCCCTGTCTGTTACAACTTGCCCCGTGGGTGGGGTAAATTGTAAAATTTTTACTCCTGGCGCTTTTGGCAATACTGCACAGAAACCATAGGTCTGGCGATCATAATTCCAGTGCTCATTTGTAGGAGAGGCTTGCGTGTTATTGGTAAAAAAAAATGGTTTGTCTAACCCCTTTACTTTGTTCATTATTTTGCCAAAACCAAAACGTGTTACTTTGTGCCCCGCTTTCCCCGACAGTATATGTCTAAATAAATAAATATGTACATTTCAATAATGGACAACTCTCTGATACACAAACTAGTCAAAAAACCAATGACATGCTTATGTACACTGATTTTAAAGACAATACTTGCCAGAGTGATACTAGAAGCCGAACATGAAAAAGTGAAATTTGATCGTCTTCTTTACGCATCAAAAGTCTTGACTTTTAAATGAAGCAATCCCTTTACACTCGCATTTACAGATGCTGATGCTATGCTTTGAAGGCAGATAATATAGTATGTATTCATGCGAAATTGTGCATGAAATGTCCTTTTTGAACTCATTACATTGATAATTTATGAAGAGATTATAAAATCTCTTGAATTTCACATTCCAGCAGTCAGCTGGGCACCACCACAGACTCATAAATTCTGGCTCAGCCTGCAGTCTTGCAGTTTTCAGGAAGCCACATAAAAGAGAAGTATTTCAGTTATACAGCTCTCAGTATCTACACGGGTCAATCTGAGCAACTATTGTATTACTGTTTTTTTATTCAATCTCCTGCACCAAACCTCATTCAGCACACACACACAAAGACGGTATCACATTACACCAACTCTCTGAAATAAGAGAAGCCATTATTAATTCATGAAAGTGTTTCCTAGACATGAGTAACCTACTAATTCTTTCTTAAATATATGCTTCTTTGTGCTGAGAGTACATGAAGCAAGACATTGCACATGTAAGGGCATACAGTTTGCTCAGCTGTGCCTTTGTTAAAATACTGCCCAGAGGATCAAAGTTTTTTTTGTGTAATATTGTTCGGCTGTCTTTTCAAATTTATATTGCTTTGACAATAAACTATTCCTTTGAGTGTAGGAGGTACTAACCTCATTTTTACTTTTTGTCTTCCTCCTTTTACAGCCTGAAGATGGTATCGACAGTGGTGGCTTCTCCTGTTACACACACTGTAACCGCACAACGCTCCAGGTATAAATATGTTCTCCGTTAGAACTTTGACACATTTAGAGCTTCATTCCGAACCCTGAGCATCGGCTGGAAGACAAAGAACAATATGGTAACAACATTTCTGTGAGGCACTTTTTTTTGTGATATTTATATTGCTAGTAATTAACATGCAATTAAATAATTGTCCGTCTGCAGCGTGAGTGCATTTCTGTACATGTCGGCCAAGCTGGAGCACAGATTGGGAATGCGTGCTGGGAGCTTTACTGTCTGGAGCATGGTATCCAGCCAGATGGACAGATGCCCAGTGACCGGTCAATAGGAGGAGGAGATGACTCCTTCAACACTTTCTTCAGTGAAACAGCTTCAGGGAAACACGTTCCACGTGCCATCTTTGTTGATCTTGAGCCCACTGTTATTGGTAAGGGTGTATTTGTACTTAAAATACTTGATGCTAATTTGAAATATTTTAGTGGATTATTGTTTACTTTGTAATGTTTCAGATGATCCTCTTAATAATATTAGAGTATCAGTAGACTGTTTGGTTACACTTTGTATAGGTAGCAGCAGTTGTGAAAAGAGTACCAAAAATCATACTTAAGTAAAAGTACCAATACTTGCCTAAAGATGTAGTGCAAGTGAGTAAAAGTATCTGTTGTAAATATTACTCCAAGTATGAGTAAAAAGTAGACCTTTTAAAAATACTTAAGTAATTTGTGGATGTTTGTAAACGTAACATTCTGTAGTGCATTTAGTTATTGCCCAGCACGCACACATCATCGTTGATATTAGGTTAGATTTAGGTCATGATGTCAGGTGACCAAAATTCAATGTCTTGCCAGCGTCTAAGGACAACATTATTTTGATGTTCAATATGGATGTAAAATGACATTGATGTTTGGTTGATTTTAGGTTGTTAGAAAGTTACCAAAATACATTGAGCCAACATCTTAAATCAATGTCATGTTGATGTCAAATACTGACATTTATTCATCAGGTATGGCAACCAAAATCTAACATCTGATAGACGTCATATTGGTAACATACACACAACGTCAAGCTGTAATATCAATAGACGTTGATATTTGGTTGATTTTAGGTTGTACATTAAGACATTGAGGTTGGCCTGACATTAAAGTCTGACGTCCACCTGTTTTTTATTTCCAAATAAAATGCAACGTCCCTACGACGTTGGGGTACAACGTCACTCTGACTTCATGTTGACGTCCTTTGCCAGCTGGCTGTGTAAGGTAATTTTGGTCATCATAGTGTAAACATCCATAATTTTCTCATCAGTGACATGCATCTATAACAGTCTCTGGGTCAGTGCGTGTAAAGATTTTGGACACTTTCAATGCTTCCAAACTTTTTGCTGCAATTATAAATCACCCATGTCTTATTAAGGTAGTTCATTATGATGCAATTTATCTTCTATGTGTGATCTGATTGGACAGGAATCACAGGATAAATGTTTCTAATCCCACAGACAAAAAAGTATAATATAGTGACTGATGATTTAAAGAAAGTAGTGGAGTAAAAGTAACGATACAGCAATAAAAATGTACTCAAGGTAAAGTAAAAATACACATTTTTAAAACTACTAAGTAAATTACAATTTCTGAGAAGACCTCAATTACAGTAATTTGAGTATTTGTAATTTGTTATTTTACACCACTGGGTAGCAGTTTAGTAGAATTGTCTCGGTACATTCGCTAAATTTAATATCTCCTCTAATGATCTGAATTGCACCTCGAAGGTGGAGTTCTGCATGTAATAGTGGAAGACAAAGCATCCCTCCTTCTGGGTATTGATCTGGGTGTGCCTCAGGGATCTGTCCTGGGACCTCTTCTATTCAGTGTATTCATAAATTATTTACTGTACCATTAGTATTATCTGTGTGTGAAGTAATGATTTATCAAAAGTATACTGCCATATATGAATGAAAAAAATACACAAAAGAACAAGCTGTTTCTGAACACAATGCTGAAATTATAATGAATATAAAAGGCTAGAAGATTCTCATTTGTTTATTAATGTGAAGGTGATTTGCATATTCTTTACAAAGACAATGTCTGTACTTTACTGTGATCCTAAAGTCTATGTATCTGGTTTCAAAGTGCTAAATATCTGTGCTATTTTATCTTTCTTTTTCTTCAATGTTTGTACCCTACACTCTAGAAAAATTAACTTAATGTTGGGTTTGCCCATATTTTACCCAACATTGGATTAAAACAACCCAGTGATTTTTTTTTTATTTAATGTAAATTACACTTTTGATAGATGGAATTCCTGATGGATGGATTTGTCCATTTTCGACCCAACTTCTGACCCAACACTGGGTTGACAGTAAAAAAGTGTAACTTATATACATTGGGCTGGTGGGACTCAAATATACACCAGAAGACCAGAAGAGAGAGTAAGGGTGCTTTCACACCTAGACTTTTGTTTCGGAACCTGTCTCGTTTGCCCAGTTCGCTTGGCATTTGAGAAACCACCAATCGCGCTCGGATCCACGGCAAAGCAATCGCTCCGAGATCGCTTGAATGAGGTGGTCTCGGCTCGATTGAAACGAACTCTGGAGTGGATTGATTGTAGTGAGAAAGTGATACGATCTGAGCCCGGTTACATTACAGTGTTTTATGGATATGTAATAGGCATATGGCTATATGAAGAGAGAATTATGAGTAGGGCATGAGGTCATTCAACAGACATCCCAAGTCTCCCGGAAGTTTTGTGAGTCTCCCGCAAATGCACAGAGACTCCAAGATGCCCGCAAACGAGTGATAATCTCCCGGAAATTGCGCATTTCCCTCCCGGTCCTCAAATACATCGCGCACCCCCCTCAACCCTTCCCACCACATGCCTCCTCGCTCTTCAGTCACATCGTGCACACACTGTCAAACACAACCAAACCACCACCACCCCTGACAGCTGAGCGGGACTTAGCATAATAAACTATGAAACTCTGACCAATGTGAGGAGAGTTTACTCACACGTGACTTGTTTTAGCTCTTTTGGTCCGTTTAGAAACTTAGCTGTGAAAGCGAACCATACCAAAAGCAAATGTACAATGTAACAATTTTAATCCCTGTTTCGGAACAACTGAATCGATTCACAGATGTGAAAGCACCCTTATTTAACACCCGTGGAGTTATATGTACACTGGACAATTTGCCCCGCAGGTGTCAAAAATCTTTAGTGTGGTGTGCAGTTTTACACTCTAAGGGCTCTATTTTGACGGTCCATGCGCAAAATGGAAATCTCAAAAAGTCATCTGCGTCGCGCCATAGCGCATTTGCTATTTACATGACGTAAAGTAAGTCTCACTTTCACTTTCACTCTCGTGGATAGAGAAACCTTTACGCACAGACATCAATTAGCCTATAAATAATAAATTTTGTTTGTTAAGCTCAAAGATTTGTTTCAAAACTATTTCTAAATTCAGTTCTAATTTCCAGCAAATTAATAAATGAACAATAATAACGAAGTGTGGTCAAAATACTGAGTTATTTCCAAATACACCTGCCATGCCCCATATGGTCTAAAACCTGACAGGTGGACAAATCTAAGCTTGTTTTTAATAAAACAAATATAAATATGGATATAATAATAATAATGCTAATAATAATAACATTATACAAAAGCAAATTGAATGAACTGAAAAAGCCTCCCGAGATGGATTCAAGGCAGTGCTTTTTAAATTCATGTAGGCTAAAAAATAATGTTTTGTAATATTTTAATCCTTTATTATATATATATATATATATATATATATATATATATATATATATATATATATATATATATATATATATATATATATATATTATATCCTATATATATCCTTAATATTTTAATTATTTTTCATATGTAAAGATATTTGCATATTGCTCTACATCATTGCTCTGCGCTGGACTTTAGACCGGGTTTGTTCTGGTCTAAAGAATAGACTATTACAGTTTCTCAAAATAGTTTGTTTCTGTTGTAGTTTCTGTTATCACTTTATTTTGATGGACTCTTTAACAAATTTTGTTGAATTTATGTTACATTGCATCTACAGGCCAACTAATTCTCATTAGATTATAAGTAGATTGTTAGCTTAGTGTAGGTTAGGGTTAGTGTAAGTTGAAATGTACTTGCAAAGTTGCTTATAGTCAGTTAAATATGTTGAAGCAGCAGTATCAAGAGATATTAAGCAGACTATCTATTAATACTCAAATGAGAAGTAATTGGCATGTAGGTGCAATGCAACTTTTAGTCAACAAAATGTGCAATAGGGACCATCAAAATAAAGTCTTACCTAGTTTTCATTTAATTTGAACTTTAAGTTCATTAAAATAAACAATAAAAAACAGACTGACACTTTCAGCTTTTTGTAAATGTAGATGAAGTGCGGACAGGAACCTACCGCCAGCTCTTCCACCCTGAACAACTGATTACTGGGAAAGAGGATGCTGCCAATAACTATGCCAGAGGACACTACACCATTGGCAAGGAGATTATTGATTCAGTTCTGGATCGTATACGCAAACTGGTAATATATTAATCTGATTATCTGCTTAGTTAATAAAATAAGTTCTGCTTCTTGGTCAAATTAGTGTGTTGTATTCTTATTTGAATGCTCTCTTTCTTATCTCTCCCAAAAGTCCGACCAATGCACTGGCCTTCAAGGTTTCTTAGTGTTCCACAGTTTCGGTGGAGGCACTGGCTCTGGCTTCACCTCTCTGCTGATGGAGCGTCTCTCTGTCGACTATGGCAAGAAGTCCAAGCTTGAGTTTGCCATCTATCCTGCTCCTCAAGTGTCCACAGCAGTGGTGGAGCCCTATAACTCCATCCTGACCACCCACACCACCCTGGAGCACTCCGATTGTGCCTTCATGGTGGACAATGAAGCCATCTACGACATCTGTCGCAAAAACCTGGACATCGAGCGTCCGACCTACACCAACCTCAACAGGCTCATTGGGCAGATTGTGTCCTCCATTACAGCTTCGCTGAGATTCGATGGAGCTCTCAATGTGGATCTCACCGAGTTCCAAACCAATCTGGTGCCCTATCCCCGCATTCACTTCCCTCTGGCCACATATGCACCAGTGATTTCTGCTGAAAAGGCATATCATGAGCAGCTCTCTGTGGCCGACATAACCAACGCCTGCTTTGAGCCGTCCAATCAGATGGTGAAGTGTGATCCTCGTCACGGTAAATACATGGCCTGCTGTCTTCTGTATCGTGGAGATGTGGTGCCCAAAGATGTCAACTCTGCCATCGCTGCCATTAAAACCAAACGCACCATCCAGTTTGTTGATTGGTGCCCCACTGGCTTCAAAGTAGGCATCAACTATCAGCCTCCAACAGTGGTTCCTGGTGGAGATCTGGCCAAAGTACAGAGAGCCGTGTGCATGTTGAGCAACACCACAGCTATCGCTGAGGCCTGGGCTCGTCTGGACCACAAGTTTGACCTGATGTACGCCAAGAGAGCCTTTGTGCACTGGTATGTGGGAGAGGGTATGGAAGAAGGAGAGTTTTCGGAGGCCAGAGAAGACCTGGCAGCTCTGGAGAAGGATTATGAAGAAGTCGGCACTGACAGCATTGGAGATGATGAAGACGGAGTTGAATTTTAAAGTTGTTTTTGTAATGTCAGGGGGATCTGGTGTTATTTTTATATGCTAAGCAGTAGGGTTATTTTTTTTAAGGCTATACTTTTTTTTAGGTCAGAGATGTCCAAACTCAGTCCTGGAGGGTGTCCTGCATAGTTTAGCTCCAACTTCATTCAACACACCTCCCTGGAAGTTTCTCGCATACCTAGAAAGAGCTTGATTAGCTGGTTTAGGTGTGTTTATTTGGGCTTGGAACAAAAATATGCCATCCAGGATCGAGTTTGGACACCCCTGTCTAAGGTATATCTTCATATTGGGGTTCTTTTATTTAACATCAGTTAATGGAACAGCTAAGAAAAATCAATAAACAATATTTTTGTAGCATTTATCACATTCTAGGTATACAAATATTAACTTTAACAACTGTATAAATTACTTTATACTTCATATAATTTTGTTTACTCACTATTTACCAACCCAGGCTCATTGTGGAAAAGTAGCCCCGCGGACGTTTCTGGAAACTGCGAAATACGTCCCGGGAGGTATGTATTTGTGCAGTTTTTGTATTCGCAAATCCGCAAGAGGCCGCTGTACGCTGTTCTCGCCCTGCCGCAAACTTGTTCGCTTTTATTTTTTGGATTCTGTTTTTCACCTTACCTGATTTCTGGAACCGCTCTTCTCCAGACTCAAACCCGGTTGTCGCTGCGGGCGGTTCCTCCTCCTCCGGGCCTCAGCTCCGCCAATGTAACACTACGAGCTAAGCAGACAAACTGGTTGCGGCGGTAAAGCCCTCCACACGGAGGTGAGCCATCAGCCGGCGAGCGCAAAGAAGAGGAGTGGTGTCAAACCGCCACATAGTGTTCGCTCGAATAAAACGAGATAGCCATACATAACTCTGGCCATGTAAATCGCAGTCTCCAGAAACGTCCGTGGGGCTACGTTTCCAGAATGAGCCTGGGTTGCAATTCACTAATCATCAAATGGTTCTAGACCTTTATAATATTTTATTATTCTGTTGGACACAAAAGAAATATTCTTAAGAAAAATTAAAACTTGTGATCATTGACATCCTTGGTAGGCCAAACAAATAAAGTGGAAGTTAGTGGGTAGAGGTTTCCAAAGTTTTTCTAAATATCTTCTTTTTGAGTAAACAGAAGAAAGAAACTTTTAAAAGTTTGAAAAAAGTGAAGTTTAAGTAAATGATGACAGACTTTTCATTTTTGTATGAACCACACCTTTAACATCAACTCATATTAATAAATGCATGTCTGTTAGGACCTTTACCTAACACATAACCAAAAGTTACATATACTAAAACAAATTAGCACAAAATGATGTCAAAAATCTAGTGATAATCTCTAATCTCTTTCTAAAAATTGCATATATTGCTATAAATACATGTCTGCGCTTTCTTCATAATACAGTTGGTTTATCTGTCTAGAATACGTGTATGCTTGCATATGCAAAAGTGATAAAGGCTAGGCAGAACAGAACATGGTTGAACCATGACACCCTTCCCCCCACTGATGTCTATGCATGCAGCACAAAAATGACCACCTGCTGGAGCTGTTATTCAGGATTCAGCTGTTTGTACATGTCAATGGTATCACTACATATGAGACGCTGGATGTTGTGTGCTTTTCAATATTACTGAAGAAAAAAATTAAAGTCTGATAACAATTGGGTCAGTGTGTTCATCGCTTTCTGTATAGCAAGAATCATGTCTATAGAAGACCTTATTCAATAGTGCCTTCTGAATTGTAACAACATTGAATCCCAGAAAGACATCATTTTTTAAATGCAAGGCCAAGTTGTTTTCACAAAGAAATAGACCACCCAAAACTGAAAAGTTAGTAATTATTTGCTCGCCCTTTACTTATTTCAAACCTGTTTCACTTTCTTTCTTTCACCAAACACAAAAGACGATGTTCTGAAGAAAACTGCAAACCTGTAACCATTCACATCCATATTTTGTGTAAGTCCATATTTTATATACTATATAAATCAATAGTTGTAAGTTTTCAGATTTCTTCAAAATATTTTCTTTAAGATAAGAAACAAGCACATAAAGGTTTGGAACCACTTGAGGATGAGTAAATAGTGAGTCAATGTTAATTTTATGCTGAACTACCCCTTTAAGTAGTCACTGATATGAAATGTCACACTCTAATAAACGTTGAGTTATTTCTTCAACCCATGATTGAGTTAAACCTATTTGGTGCGTTGTTGGGTTATTTTTAATCTTTATTAGGTTATTTAATATTAACTCAAGCAGTTGGGTTAAATATTTTATGCTTTGTTGGGTTGTTTTCAACCTTTATTTGGTTATTTATTTTATAACTCAACCAGCTGGGTTAAAATTTTGAATTTCAACAGTCAACTGATTTAACCGACACAGAACAGCTGCATTAATATGCAACATATCCAAATGTTGTTTTGCGTTGTAAAAAATTTAAGCTCTAGTGTAATAATGTTGTTATTTTTTTATCAAATTACCTCTCGTGTCGTGTTTTTTTCTATTCGATTCACCAGCACTCTTAATTATTGATGATACAAACGCACATACAATACATACAAATGCTTCGTGGCTGATAAAACGCTTTCTCTACCTCCCATGTTCATCTCTACAGTTTTTTTTTTTTTTGGGAGCAAATTCATTCATTCATTCATTCATTCATTTGTTTTCTTGTCGGCTTAGTCCCTTTATTAATCCGGGGTCGCCACATCAGAATAACCGGCAACCTATCCAGCACATTTTTTTCGCAGCAGATGCCCTTCCAGCCGCAACCCATCTCTGGGAAACATCCACACACATATTCACACACACACTCATACACTACGGACAATTTAGCCTACCCAATTCACCTGTACCGCATGTCTTTGGACTGTGGGGTAACCTGGAGCACCCGGAGGAAACCCACGCGATGGCAGGGAGAACACGCAAACTCCACACAGAAACGCCAAGTGAGCCGAGGATCGAACCAGCGACCCAGCGACCTTCTTTGACCTTCTTTTTGTGCACTATGTCGCCCTTGGGAGAAAATGATACACGTATTTGGGATATTCGGCTGTCATTCTCCCCTTTAGGACCCAGCGAAGACATTCATTTATTTACACAGCCATAATTCTAAAGTAAAAATAGCACCTAAATAGTAATACCAGAATGGAAAAAAATAACATTTAATCAAAATAACCTAATGCATTGGGTTAAATTATATAACCCAATGCATTGGGTTAAAATAACCCACACTGTAAAAAATAAATCTGTTAAATTTAAAGTAAAAAATGGCAGCTGTGGTTGCCAGTGCTTTACCGTTAAAAACGGTACAAACCGTAAAAGTAATTTCTCTTTTTTATGGTAAATTACCGTATTTTATTAATTTATAGAGGTAATATGTCTATATGACCAACGTCTACACATCTTTTGTTACACAGTTAGACACGTTAGCACATCCATATGCAGGAGGTGATGAGGAAGATACATAATGAGCCAATGCTCATCACAATCAACTTTAGCCATAAGCAGAAAAGAGTATCAGCATGTAGAAGGTGCTCAGTGTCATTCACACAGCTACTAAACACCAGTATGGTAACACGCATAAAATTAAAGTCATGCAATAAACATTGTTTATCAACATTAGATGTAACATAAATCTCTAATTTACATTACTGATGGGGAAACCAATAAAAAGATCCATATTAATGGTAACAAAATGCATAAAAAGTTATGTGCCATGCAGGGAATTCTGGGACAATTTACGGTTATTCGCCTTATATATTAAGGAAACTTAACCTGGTTACGGATTTGTACTGTAATATTTTTACAGTTTTTTACCGTTAAGATCATGGCCATTTTTTACAATGCATGGTTGGGAAGTTGCTATAATAACCTATAGTTGGGGTATATGTTGGGATGTTTTTAACCCAACTATTTTGACAGAGCACTTTCGCCCTGAAGTCTTTAGGAATCATGAATATACAATCCCACTGTCTAACATTACAAACAATCAAGATATCAGTTTTCCTGCAGCCGTTATGCAACAAACACATGGAGAAGTTTAGCATATCTGCTGTAAAATTCCTTTCTGACATATTTTAGTTTCTTTAAATACGCCAAAAAGCTAGTAAAGGCGGCAGATGGTTTTCACAGACCCTAAAATCCCAAGAGGGAAAGAGACTGTAATGTGAAAAGGACAGCCCTTCCGAACAGCCATCCTCACTCCAACAGGCGATCCCACTTCCTGCTCACGTCCCCCTCCCTTTTCCCCTCTCTATAAAAACCCCACCTCTCCTTTTTTTCCTCCACATCTGCCTTCTCTTTCCGAATCCTCAAGTCGGCCTGAAGGGAAATCTGACAAGATGGTAAGTTTTTAATGCTTGAACAATTCCTAAATTCCAAAGCTTTTCATAATCAAAGTATTAAACGTGAATATTATTGTATTTTTGTATGTTAGGAAATGGCAACAAACTCTGCAGTAATTTGATAATTATGCTGTTATTTAATTATGTGGAAGACAGAAATAGTAGCACTGCAATTAAATCACTTAAGCATGATGTTATGAAATTAATATGTAGCTTTAAGTAGTCATTTTCAAGCCCGGATATAGCCATTCATTGTATAGAGGATGTGGCCACGGCCTTCAAAAATCCTCATCCCAGACGATGACACACATGTCAGCAGGAAATTCCAATACTTCACTTTTTCTGCAACGTTTATCTATGTTTAGTGGGTCTGCATAGCCAAAATAGCATATCTCCGTCAGCTGAAGTGGAGAAATAAAGGAACTACAGTAATGTAGTTGTCACTATAAGAATGAATACATGTCTTTATGTCATACAGAGAGGCATTGGTACTAGATGAGATCATGAGTGACAAAAACTGGAGCATGGCAGAATAATAGATATATCTGTTCTAGAGAAAAGGCCTGAGTGAGATATCACCGTGTGCTACACAAAGAAGAGTGTACAGCTGGGACAGGGAGGGGGTGGACTGAGGCCTCAAAGGAGCTCTCTGAGTCTCCTCTATACTTGAGAGATCCAATGACACAGGCTAGAGGAGAGGGTGAACATATATGCACATATAATCAAACTAAAAGTGAGTTATACATGTAGTCCCACACGGTTAAATGTGCAATATTATTGAGCTTTAGGTGAGCTTATTCATTTTCTTAGAGTAAAACACATATGCCGGTTAATTTCTCAATCAAAACTCAAATGGTTTTCATCCATTTTTAGGGCCTCCAATGTCCCATATATGTCCACAATGACAATCAAGGTCCCAATTTATAATTATTATTATTATTTAATTACCTTTCTTTCCTTAATGTTACGTGTTAGTTCAATGCCTCTAAATAAGGCACATTTAAAGGGATAATTTGAACACACACACACAAAATCTGGCATTATTTACTTACCCTTGACTTATTTTAAGCCTTTTTTTTATTATTGTTTTCTGTTGAACACAAAAGAAGATATTTTAAAGAAGGTTGTAAACCTGTAACCATTGGCATCCTGTAGAAGGAATAAAAATACTATGGAAGTCAATGGTTCTTGGTCTTCAAATCTTTTGTGTTCAACAGAATTACAAGTCAAGGGTGAGTAAATGATAGAAGAATTTTCATTTCTGGCTGAACTATCCCTTTAAATAAGCTTAAACTCTGAAAACTGGGCTGACGTTGTTTCAGTTTACTATAGTCTTTCATGTTAAGCTGCTTTGACACAATTCACATAGTAAAAGCGCTATAGAAAATGAAAATGAATTGAATTGAATTGAATTGTTCTCTCAGCAAGGGTGGGATAGGGTGTAAGGGTGGTAAAAAAGTTTACATACATATTTAATTTCTCCTGTAAATTGCTAATGTGAAAATATTAAAAACAACAGTACAATAATAAATAGTAAAAATCAAAATAGTTAAAAAATATATATAAATATACATTTATTTTTTTATTTATTTTACAAAGACACTTCTAGTCATCAAGATACTGGATTAGAATTAAAGCTTTTCAACTGTCTCCCACATGTCCACATGACTACATGATGACTACCGCATTTTGCCCCTAGCGGCAGTCACAGGGAACTTTCAGACTGGTTTTGAAGCAAACTTCACTCCCACTAATTCACCCTGTTAAAATGAGTGATTTGAATCAATGACTATTATATTACTCAAAAACAAAACAAAGGTTTCTAAAGTTAATCAACAATAACAATGATAACATTCTCACATTTATAGATCTGACAATAATAAAAGGCAGTTTAAAGATTTTATTTTATTATTAAAGATTTTATTTTTATTTAGATATTTTTTTATATTACTAACAAAAGGTTTACATTCTTAATGAAATACCCAACGCATTTTAAGCCTTGATGCTACTGTTTCTTTCATTTCTAAGTCGACGGTTTATTTACAGCTGACATACAGTTAAAATCAGAAGTATTAGTCCCCCTTTTAATTTTCTTAAATATTTCTCATATGATGTTTAATAGAGCAAGGAAATTTTCACAGTATGTCTGATAATATTTTTTCTTCTAAAATCTTTTTGTATTTCTTATTTTATTTTTTTTTAATTATTAGCCCCTTTAAGCTATATTTTTCTCGATAGTCAACAGAACAAACCATAGTTATACAATATACAATAATGTTATACAATAACTTGCCAAATTACCCTAACCTGCCTAGTTAACCTA